GTGTATAAATGGTGACAATTATCCACTAGTTCATATTCGATCATTATTTTACTGCGAGCATTATTCACATAATTGTCATTAATAGCCCCGGAGTACTTTCATGATTCAATAAGTGTGAATTTATGCTCAATTTATATATATAAGTGACTCGCTATGTATAATATAATACTTTTTATGAATCCTATTATTTTGTGCAGCTATACAACATCCATTATCATTATGCTTTAAATTACTTTGTTTATAGGGTTCTTTTTAATGCACAAGACGATATCTCTACTTAGTTTTACATTCACAATCTACTACTTATCTTTCTTTTTAGAGATGCTTACGATCAGATAGACATTGATTTAATGTAGAAAATTTGTATGTTCAACGAGCCTTAGTGATTTGAATTTTTATTTTATAGATTTTTTTTTCTCTGTGTCTTTAACTGTTGATCTTAAGGGCAAATTAATTCAGAATAAGATTTTATGTCGACAAGGTCAATTGATTGAGAATAATCGGAATGAAAATCTTAACCTTTATAAAGATCACAAGGAATTAATCTACCCTTGCTAGGAGCAGAGGCGTAGTCAAAAAAGGGGAAAGAGATTTAAAGTTCAAACCTTTTCTTTTTTGGAGAAGATCTTCAATTTACTAGGAGTGTCTGGCTACACTCCTGTCAAGTGGTTCACTGAGAATACTTTTGGAAAGCTTGAAGATATTAAAAATTCATAAAGAGTGAACATTTTTTATTTCCCTCTTGAGAGTTTACATCACATTTTTCAGATATAAATTCTTGTAATAAAGGATCTTTAAGAAAATCTTTCCTCATGAAACTTTTAAGGACACAACAACTTTCTCAAAAGCTTTCAAGTTCTTGTTTTTTCCTGACAGTCAAGTGATGGTAAACTCATGTGTGAGTAGATGATGTTCTAATCTTTAATAGCTTCATAGTTTGTCTTATTTTTGATAGTTTTGATTAGTTTGAACATCTTTTGCCTTTTAAAAACTTATTCAATATTGCTAGATTTTGTTAACTGACCTTTATCCTTAAAATTCTGACTGTACGCTGTTAATTTCAGTGAACCTTGTAGATTTTGTTGATTGCCCTCAAAATAAATTTAATTTATTAAGACACAAAAAAGAAAATCTTTAAAAAAATTCATTCAAATCATAAAAGCACGTCAAACATCAAAAAGATACCATTCAGAGACTTTGAGGTTAAAAGAAAAAAAATACAACTTTTAATGCTGTGTAAAGTGACAAAACACAAATGGAAAAGAAAAATGTTTATTTTCACTTGTTGGACATTTAATTTGTGTGGAAATTCCATTTATTATTTTATTACAGCTGTTTGTTATTGTAGAAGAAAGAAAAGGAAAGTTCAGTGAATAAATAATATTCATTACAACCAATCTCATTACTGACATTATACTCAATTAAATGCTTACTAGTCACAAAAAGTCAATAAATAAAGTTTGTAGTAATTTTTATTAAGATATTAAATTACTGATTAAGAGAAAAGTGAGATAGATATAGAGTGTGTGATAGAGACAAGATAATATTAAGTAGAAACAGCAATTAATTTGGATAGTTTGCAGTTACTTTATTGTTATTCTGAAAAGGACAGTTAACCATCAATCTATGTATCTAGTTATATATAATGACTCATTTTATTATTTGTATACGGATATTAACAGTAGCAATAAGAGATAAAGAGAAGAAATAAATGTCATTTAAGAACATATTGACATAATAAGTATTAAAGATACGACTAGCAAAAGGTAGAGGTTTATACTTTTATTTTGGTGAGTGTTTGTGAATTGGAAAAATAGAATCTACTGTGCATTTATCATCATTTAAGTTTCTTTCTTCAAGTTAAATCCATTTATGACCAATTTTCTTTTACCTATCGTATGTGCACGATCTCCAATTTAGTTCGAGTATGTTTTTTTTTTACAATTTCATATATTTTATTTGTGTTGGGTTTTTTTTATCGATTCAGATTTTCAGATTTCAGAATGTGGGGATGATAAATTGTAGATACACAAGTCCATTACGATATTCGAATAGCATGAATGACACATTTTTTTTAAGTTACACAGAATGAAGAGAGAAGCGTGTCGTATATATTTTTTATATATTGATGGTTTGCCAGATATAAAAAGGATGGAGAAAGAAAAAATGAAACAAATTTAGTTTTCATCTTTATAAGTTGACATTTTTTTTTGTATTAATAATATTACTATTTATCTAAATTTATCTTTGTTCAAATCTTCTACTTAAATATGTCAAAGACATTCTTATTACATCATTAAAATATTATTAAAAAGTAATTTATTATATTCTTATATATTTTTTTACAGAATAGAGAAATGATAATGGCAGAGGAAAGGAATACAAATGAGCGTCACTGTTGCATTGGCAGAAATAATCTTCAGCATGAGACCAATTTGAGTCTTGAATAATCAATATTATTATGACTGCATACTCAAATTAATCAAATATGTGATACAATATTTTGCAAATTTCATGAAAATATTGATTTTATATTTTTTACTTATTTCATTTATAAAAATTAAGGTTCCAATTAAGAAGAACTCATACAAAGGGAAAAGTTTTAGATTGAAATGAGAAAAAGATCCAGCAAAAAGTAGATACAGAAATATTCATGAGAACCAATTAGCATATTTGAAGTTTATGGTTTACAAACCTTTTAATAATCTATAGCATATATAGAAACTCATTAGAAATGGACGGAACATAAGTTAAGCTTCTTTCTTTTTCATACCCAATAATAAAGCTTTATGGTTCATGAACTTTTTCATGCAGAGCTAAATTTATAGGGGTTCTAAAATCGGGAATATTCCCGGGAATTCCCGGGAACGGGAATCCCGTTCCCGTTCCCGTTTCCCGAAAATCTGTCGGGAATATTCCCGAAATTCCCGTTTTCATACCAAAAAACCGACAATTCAAATTAGATTTTTTTTTATGTTGTATCTTTCATGAAAAAACTACAATTTAAAGAAAAAAATTATAATAATAATGAAAACATACGTTAAGGAATTTAAGAGTTGAAATATTAAACTCAAATTTGATGTTTTTTAAATCAAAAACATATATTTATGAAAAACAAAGAGAAAAAATTGAAAATTTTGTGTGAATATGAAAGTATTTAAAAATATTTTTTTAAATGTATGATGTCCACAAAATAATAAACTTAATTGAAATTGGATTAAAGTAATTTTTCCAAAATAAAAAAATGTGCTTGAAATTAATATTGAATATGTAAGTAATCAAAAAATCAGTTCATAAGTTGTAATTTAATCATGTACATATTCGTAGATTATCAGAAGTCAATAAATTAGGATGTCTTGGGTTTGGAAGCATTTTACAGTTATAGATTGCTAGACCAGCACGTTAATGCAATCAGGTTTTTAAAATCGTATTTAAGAATTGTTCTAAAACCAAAAAGAATTGAATTTTAAACGGAAATTATTGTCAAAAGAATCAATTTGACAATCAAATCAAATAGAATTCAAATTTGATTTAAAAACTTAAATAAAATACATGATGTAAAAGTAGCTTTTAATTTTTTTTTCTTTGTTGATTCCCGGGAATATTCCCGTTCCCGGACATCATTCCCGTTCCCGTTCCCGATTCCCGAAATCTTACGGGAACGGGAATTCTGGAACCCCTATAAATTTACAACTTTTCTAGACGAGATATTTTGAATTCTTTATTTACTTCGCAAACAATCAAAATAAACATATATGAAGTTGTTAAAAAGTTGTCTAGCTTAAGGAGATTAAAGCTTTAAATAAAGCTTCACAGAATGCTCTTGAATTTTTAACTAGCTCTAGTATTGAATCAATTAGAGAATTTTTATCAGATAAGTCATCGTTCTCGTAAATGAATTTTAAAGCTCTTGAAGATTAAGAATTTTTATGGATGTAAACTTTCCAACTTCAAAAATCCTTTCAATTCTCGAAAATTTCAGTCTACTAATCCATTATGAGCTTGACATTCCATCGAAACAAATTCAAACTTCCAACTCATGATTAATGATTATTCAAAGACAGAAAATTACATTAATTACACGAAAACTTTTCACAATTTCCATATCTACAGTTTACTGAATTAATTTTTCATTTCCCATACAATTCTATACTTCAACAAAATATTTTACTTCATAATTCAATAAATCAATTAGGTGGAAAAGTTGTAAAGTAATTATGATATTAAAAATAATAAGTTTATATCCTCCTATTTTATAAATAGAATAAATTATTGATTCTGATAATATGTGACTCGATATAATAATGAAAATAATAATGACGATGTCATCATCAAAGAGAAGAAAAAATATAAAATTGTACAGAATGAATGTGAGAAGAGAAAGAATAATGGACAGAATAATGACAATTCAGTCGAAAAAAATGAAAAATCGATTATTTCAACACGACCTCTTTTATAGATGAGCAAATCAGTTGCTGAATGAAATGAATCTGTTCGCCTTGAAACTCAAAATTAAGACACTAGAGATTTTATTTCATCAGCATTAGAATGCTTTCCTTCCGAAGATTGGACAATTTAGCAAAAATAATCTTCGAATATATCCAATAAGGCATTTCTCATTCAGTAACTTTAACTTAAAATGTTTATAGAACAGAAAATCCTAGCGTAATAATTATAAGATTTATAATGAGACGTGGTACTACCAAAACTTGCGTATTGTCGAGATTTTAATAAGCTACTCGGTCCCGTCGTTGACGTTAATGAACGATATGATATCGATAAAGACATCTCCTCTCCATATGATGCAGTAGATAAGCATTTTTGCAAAATTTTCCCACCTTGAGACCTTGATCTTGTCGGTCCTTGGACGGTGGGCCCTAGATTACATCCACTAGCAACATTCATACTACCACTACCAACTCCAGTGATTGCACGTTTATTAATAGGACTAATAGCCGATGTTATACTGCCACGTGGATCTATTAAAGTTGATGCCGTACCTGAGCAAACACCGTTCATCTTTACGCATTACGATAAGGTTTTTTTATTTTGAATTGATTTGATTTGTGTGTGTTTATGTTGTGCAACACAGACAGATGTGGAATGGACAATATCATGGCATTAAAGAAAAATTTTAATAAATATTTTTTAAGGTTAGGTTATTAATCATTATTATTTAAATATCATATTTTAAGTTTTTTTTTTTGATTATTATAATATTTTGTGATAAGAGAGAAAGAAACAAAGAAAGAGAATCAAAACAAGGGAAGAGAGAAAAAAAGAGAAATCAAAAAAGCACAAAAACTTTAGTTAAAAATTATTTTCTAATTAAAAAATATTTTTTTTGTCAAAAAAAATCGAGTTTGTATAAATCTCCAATATTTCTTTATGTCATATTAATTGAAAAGTTTTTTTTTAAAAAAAAATCAGATATGGCAGGATTAAAACTGCTTTCATCGGAAGTCAACATGAAGAACCTTCACAATGGATTAAAAATTTATGAAACATTCTAATTGCATCATGGTGATGGTGTTTTTATAGCAAAGACATGACAAAAGTGTCATGGTAGAGTATGTACTAGGTGTTCTTATCCTCTTCATGTGTGCCTCTGTCTCTCAAGACAAATCTATTTGTACTTTTTCGACATACATTATTACGTGTGTATGTGCAATCTCGGTTGAATTAAAAAAACATACATGGGAAAGGTAAGAAGTGAGTCAAGTATACACGAAGGGTTTTTTTTATTATATCAAGAAAATTTTGATTGCTCAACTTTTTGACACATTATGAATAATATGAAGAATATGTCAACATGACTGAAATATTTTTACATAATAAAAAAGCTGGGGTAAATTGATTCTTAGTAAAGTTCAGGGGTGTAGCTAAGGAGGCTGGGGTGGAAGGGGTCATTAGCTAAAAACTTATCTAAAACAACTCCGCTCTTTCCTTAAATATTGACTACATCACTGATGTCTCCTATTATTATAAAAATGACAATAAAAACCCAATTGCTATTCAACAGGTTGACAATCGAGTTATGTGAACTAAACTTCATTGAGAAATTATCAATAAAAAGTCAAACTCATAGACTAAGTTTTACTAATTGTTGAGAAAAATGTGCCAAAATTATACCAGCTTTTCACATCGTTTAGTTGAGCCAACCTTCTTATTTCTTGAACATGAATAAAAAAAATTGTTTCTCACTGCTTATAAGACATAGAACAAAATCTCTTTGTTAATGATGCAAGCTAGCTTCTACCATCATCATCATTTTCATAAGAGCATTTGGGTGTGGGAGTGAGATAGGCACAGAAAATAGACAGAGTGAAACCTAATTTATTAATGCTCTTGTTGGAATTATGGCGTAGAGCACAAAATAATTAGGATAAGAAAAATAATAGACAGAGATAGAACAAGAAGAAAAAAAAATAACTGCTTAAAACCGAAAAAAAGCTTTTTCTATAATATTAATTAAAAGAGTAAGTGAGTTAGAGAGACATAAGGAACAGGAGGATGAACAAAATAAACAGCAACGATGTTAAATAAATCAGAACGAAAGAAAATAAGAAAATAAAAGTTATTCATAAAAAATTCATTGAAGTATGTTAGACGGCTTAATTTATTTCAATGATCATATTTGATGTGTTTTAAGACTACTGTTGCTGTTGCTTGCCTTGTTCATATATGCTCTTACGTATTCATATGCTGTATATCATTAAAACACACAACATATTTCGTTCTTTAAGGTAGAGGCATGTTAATGGGAAGCTATTGAAGATTTTGCTCCAAAACACCACAAAAAAATCCATAAAAATAAGCTTCAACATTCCGGACTTCAAAAGCCCTTGCTACGCCTCTGTTTTAAGGAACTTAATAAGATTTAGAAAGCTAAGTTATGATGGTGATGAATTTGAATTTTAATGATGCATATTTTTGCGGTTTCTACACTTAATTATGGTTAGACATGATAATGGAATGACTAAAAAATAAACTTTTACTCTTTTACAGATTTCAATCCACTTTATGCATCATCCCTTGTTAAAACAAACAAGCTACATGATATGCAAAAGAAGTAAGGACTTAAAGTATGTATTGTCAGCAAACTCATACTTCTCAGACAACTTCTACAAATATCCTTAAGTCAAATATTGAACGATCATAAAAAAATTTTCAGTCGGAATGAAAAACTTTCAAAATAAAACTGTCTTTTCACGGAGAGATATTTATCATGGGAGAGTGACTCAGTCAAAACATATTACACAAAACTTTTCTCCCCTTCTCGTATTTTTCCCACGAAATTTTCATCCAATTCATGAAGTAAAGCGATCGTAAAAGTCAGCTGATTTTTCCCAAAGGGCAAAAAAGGAATATTATTTATGCTGAGAAGTTACAAAATTACACACACACATTAACAAGACATTCCTAGAGCTTTTCAAGGCATCAGGAAGTATGCTAAAAATGATGAAAACTTCACAATCTTGTTCATTTTTCTTATAGGGGAGAGAAAAGAATCTTTAAAGTGATTCCGAAAAAATGATTAATTACAGTTAGATGAAAATTCTCGGTCTGATGCTCTTATGGAAGCTTTCTTGTGCTTCTTTATCGTTTGTAAAGCAGAGTGAAACCACAGAAATGTGTGTATATTTTTCATCACATTGTAGGATTCTAAGCCATATGAAAATAAGATTCTTGACGATGATAAGAGTCTTTCATGCTTGCCAGAAAATTATTCTTTGTTTAAACTTTAACATAATTTATTTCTACAATGTGAATGGTATATAAATACAGTTTTGTTAAAAAAAAATCCAAAAAGCGCACCGTAATTGGCGAAACTTTTTGATAAAAATTCACGTGCGTCACAGACGGCAGCAACAACAAGAAAATTAAGTAAAAGAAGAAATGAAACAAGAGAACAATATAAAAATGGAAAAATAATGTTGAAGGCATAAGTGGCCTTCTCGCGTACTTTTTTAGCCTGGGCATTATTTCACTTGTTTTCTTTCTTATTCTACTTGAAGTTCTTTGGGGTCGTTCACTTATTACGTAATGCTATTAAGTGCCTTAAAAAATTCTTATTTTTGTTTCATTGACAGGTGGAGAGGGGGTCAAAAAAGTCCTTTTAATGCTACCTTCTAAATAAATTCCCCCCTTCAATGCCAGGTTGTCAGTATAAATTTTATTTAATTCAAAAAATATGTTCTCATTATACATTTAGCGTCATTTCTTGCGAAATAAATTATCTTTTTTAATGCTCACTTTGGACAGCAAGTTGATTGACCTAAATTCTATTAGTCTGTTAATTTATTTTATCTCCACAAAATTAGGTGAATGATACCCAGAGAAATTGGAATTTTTAGTAAAATAGTAAATCTGATTAGTTCTATCCACAAGAAAATTTCGTACTCGATCCTTTCAGCATCATCTCTCTTAATACAGAAAAATGTTTATTTACATTACATTTTTTATGATTATTTTGTCAGATCTTTCTGCTGCAAACCAGCAAAACCATCGTGATAGCAAGAATGAATGAAATAAAAAATACAGACGAATGAGTGAGTGAGTGAGAGAGATGTAGAAACGAGAAAAGTCCATTTGAATTTGCCTCAAAAGAAATGAAGAAAATGAAGGAAGAAGATATCTTTCCCTCGAGTGTCATGAACATTTTTGCACTTTCATTATGAAAAGGAGGGCGAGAATGTGCATTTTAGTACCAAATATGTATCAGCACAAAAGGAACAAAAAGGGGAGATCATTTATCTCCTCATAGAAAAAAACCCTTGTATATGTATTATAATGCTTGTTTACTTCTTCAACAGTCAGTTGTTTGCTGTTTCGCTAAGTAGTCAGCAACAACACAACAGCTTGCATGGATTATGTCATTTTAATTTTACATAAACTTCTTCTTCATTCTCTTCCGTGAGATTAGCAAAATTGTTCAACAAACTAAAGTAAGAGCAAAGCATTCATGACAGGGTTCATAGAAATTTCAGTCTGTCGGTGCGTGTTGCAGTTTATAATCTGGTAATGTGTTGCTGAGACAGTTTGTGGCAAGTAAAATTTTCTATTGTTGAATTTGCTTCTGATATTAATTTTGCTACAATTTACATAATCAAGAGCTTTAATTTAATAGGAAATATTAATTAGTGAATTTTAATGATAATAGCTCATTTACCGGATAATAATTAGTGATGTGGTTTTTTTGGGTGTTCAATGGAATTGTCTCGTTTAATTTAAAATCAATTGTTGTTTGATGAATGAATAGAAAAGCTCATTACAAGCTCTAACAAATTAATTTCCAATAAGGGTCATTCATTATATGATGTTTATTATTTTGTGAGTAGGAAGCATCTAATATTTGGTGGAATTTTGATTAATTTTTTGATAGACGTCATAAGTGAATTTGTAGAGCTATTTGCCCTTTGTAGAGCTTTAAAAAACCAATCAACAAAATATATTTTCAACCAATTTAAATGATTATTTCTTTAGGGGTTGTGAAAAGCTATCATGTTCAATCCATTTATGCTATCTACCTCTGCCACCAGAGGAGAATAAGAATGGGCAGAAATGGAATGTTAAAAAAGTATAATCAGCAAAAAACAAAAGAAAAGGAGAAAAAAAAATGAAAATTGTAAACAGAGCAGTAAAGTAAATATTAAAATGTACTCTAGCATATTGTCTACAAATCTAGGTAGATATGCCAAGCAACAAGATGTAACAACAACAGTTTTCTTTCATATTTTATTTACTCTTAAAGGAACTAAAATATTATTAAAAAATCAGAGATTCTCCTTCTCATGTTATTAAATTTACAGATTTTTTAAGGACTGGAAGGAGAAGAGGAAATATTTACCAAATAATTCGAAGAAGAAAAATTTGAGGCAACTTTCGCTTTGATCTTCTGAATCAGTATCTGAATCATCGGCATATGTTGTCTATAATGTACATAACATATACACAAAGAGAGACTTTTATAGGAAGAAAAATTAAGGAAATTAGATACAGAGCTGTTGTCTCAAATA